TCCTTGGAAGTCATTGTGAAGCTGGGGTTGGTGTTGAGTGCACACCACATCTATCCAGCTGGGCACAGTTTACTGCCCAGCTTGAAACACACTTTGTGGAGCTCCAAGAAAGCACCAAGATGTCATATCATCCAAATCACAGCTTCTCCTTTGGTTCTGAGAAGCAAGCACATCATCCACCAGTGAGGGTGAGTTGCAAATCCACATACAATGAGCAGCCACCACACAGAAGTGGTACATCCCTTGCCCACACTACTGTGTTAAACACAGGCTGAGTGTTCAAACCACAACTATTGCTGGTACCCTGACACTTCATAGCAGGATGTTTCCTCAGCAGTCCTGTTTCTGTGACCTGGACAGGCTGGAGAGCTGGGCAGAGAAGAACCTAATGAGGTTCAACAAAAGCAAGTGCAGGGTCCTGCACCTGGGGAGAAAGAATGCTGGGCACCAGTATAGGTTAGGGGTGGACCTGCTGGGAAGCAGTTCTGAGAAGAAGGATCTGGGGACCTTGGTAGACAGCAAATTATCCATGACCCAGCAATGTGCCCTTGTTGCCAAAAAGGCCAATGGAATCCCGGGCTGCATAGGGAAGAGTGTGGCCAGTAGATCGAGGGAGGTCATTCTCCTCCTCTACTCTGCACTGGTGAGGCCACAACTGGAATACTGTGTCCAGTTCTGGGATCCTCAGTTCAAGACAGACAGGAAACTACAGGAGAGTCCAGCGTAGGGCAACTAAGATGATTGAGGGATTGGAGCATTTCCTGTACAAGGAAAGGCTGAGAGAGCTGGGACTCTAGCCTGGAGAAGAGAAGGCTGAGGGGACAAAACTACCGAACGTCCAGCCATTGCTCCCACACCAAAGGGGCCAGCATGCAAAGCAATGCCTTGTCCTCACTGTCCCCTGGAAGCGCTTTCATTGCCCCACAAACTTGCGTACAAGTATCTAGAGGGTGGGTTGCAGGAGGATGGAGCCAGACTCTTTTCAGTGGTTCCCAGTGATAGGATGAGGGGCAATGGGCACAAGTTGGAACATAGGAAGTTATGTTCAAATACTCGGAAAAACTTCTTTACTGTTAGGGTGACAGAGCACTGGCACAGGCTGCCCAGGGGGGTTGTAGAGTCCCTTTCTCTGGAGATTTTCAAGATCTGCCTGGATGCAGTCTTGAGTATTGTGCTCTAGGCAATCCTGCTTTAGCAGGGGAGTTGGACTAGATGATCTCTAGAGGTCCCTTCCAACTCTGAAAATTCCATGATTCTGTGATTCTGGAAATGCTTCATTTCCCACCGATTTCTCCAGAGGTGTGAACTGTCATGCATGGAACTGTTGCCTTGGTGTTAGCCTTCGAGGCAGTGGGAAAATGACAACTCTGAGAGGGGCCAAAGACTTCAGAAACTCACTGTCCTTGACCCTCAAAAGAGACTTCCATTGCCCTCATCCAACTCCCGGTCCACTTCTCCACTGAGATGCCACTGGGTCTTCTGGAAAACAGGACCGAAACTGTAAATATCTGTACTTGAAGCCCTGTCTAGAGACAAACCCCCACACAGAGGACCTACAGATGGAAAATCCAGGGAAGGACCCCATTTTTCCTTTGCCTGGCAAAGCCAGGCCAACAGATGAGCTGGACATGGTAAGAACTGCCCTCCTGGGGCACATGGTACCTCCATCCCCAGCTCTCATGCCACTCACAGTTTTACAGAATGCACCCAGCTGGGGAAAACAGATGAACACTCACTCTTTCCACATTTCAATTCCAGGCAAATAAGTGAAATAATCTAGGTCCTTACTCTGTTCAAAGCTTATGGAGTTGCTGGTTTTGTTGCAAGAAATGGCATCTGAAAAGGAGTAAAAGCAGTTTCCACTCCCAAAGGATGGGAAAACAGGAGGCTGAGAAGAGGCATGGGGCATAGTGGAAGCTGCTACTCAGGGAGCTGGCTCAGGGAAGTAGATGCCAATGTTTGGGGTGGGTAGGGACAGTCAAGCAAATTAATGGCTGTGTAAAATCTCAAGGAAAAGGCAGGGAGACAAAATAAATTCTGCTCCTGTCCAGACAGCTGATGGAAATGCATACGTTGTTGTGTCTAAGGTTTCTTGTTCTGCTCCTCCTTAACTACATGTTCTGATAATCAAGATAATGAGATACAAGCTGAAGAGATTTGACAGTCTGGTCTTGTTCCAGCATGCTTTGGGGTATCAAACATAGGAAGACTACTTAACGAATCCACTGTGAAAACTAAAGAACAAATGCCCTCTTATTATATGCAGTCTGCACCCTTCCACCTTGAAATAAACTCCTGGATGACAGCCGTACTGGTCCTCCTCCCATTTCAGAGGTAGCACAGGCATAAAGTGGCACGGGTTCAGCTCACCTGCACCATGTCCCATCCCCTTGACTGGCCCATGGAAAATCTCACCTAAAGGTTTGCAGGAGGAATGTCTACAATTGCTTACATATTGCCATGCAGCCACTTTTGTTCCTTCTCACCGTTTCCCACCAATGCAGTGCCTCCCTTCTGCTTCAGCAAGCTGCATATGCCACAAATGTGCAGCTCTCCGGCTTCACTGGTCACCCTCTGAGCCAAAAGGGACCCCTCCAGAAAAGCCCATGTCCTAGCTGCCTTTAGCATCACCAGCCTCGCAGCCACTGTCCCTGAGACCTGCTCACAAAAAGCCAGGCATTTTCTGCAGCTGAGCAAGCTGCATTGCCCCAACCTCAGGATGGCAACTTGGAAGCAAAAGCTGAGCCCGTGGCAAAGGGAGTCCTTGCAGCCCAGCAGGGAGAGCTACTGAGGGACACCCTGTGACACTAAAGCTCTCTCAAATGATTGTATGAACTTTACTATTAGGGGTTAGAAAAAGCTGTATAAGATGGAGACACTGGAAGTCTGGAGCCAGACAGAGCTGGGAGTTTGAGAGATGACAGGTGTAAGTGGAATGATTCAGGACTCTCTTGCTGCCCTCTTTTCTCAGTAACTGCTTAGCTGAGAGGCCTTTTCAGCATGCTGCAAGATACAACAATAACATCACTAGATAACATATACTATGTGCACTATGTGTGTATGCAACACAGTATAGAAAATGTATGTAATCTGTTCTTTAGAGAATCCCATGAGGGTCCAAAACTTAATGAAGTAATATTGGTGGGGACTGATAATTCTGAATGATCTCGCTACCAGTAATCCACTTTTTTGCTTCAATCAAGGAGTTCAGGAGAAACTTGCAGAGATCCCTTCCCACTGATGGGATTCTGTGTTTCTATAATGCCTTTCCCACAGCTCATTCTCTCTGCCCCTCTCACAGGTATAAGAATCAGGACACAATCATGCCTGCTTTGGGTTTGTTACATTAGGACCATTTCTTTCTTTTTTTTTCTTTCTAATTTTTTTGGTTGACTTTTACTGTGCACCAAGAGATGCTGCAGGCAGGATGCAGACAACTGATGTGCAGACAGAAGTTATTTCTTGGCTATTGCACTCAATGGATAGCAAAAAGTAATGAGACTAAGCATTGATATATTCACTGCCCCAGTAAGACAACCAAAGTCCTTGTCAGTCAGATGGAGGAAAGTCAGCATCCAGGGCTCGTGGGAGAAAGATTCCCATTTTCTTCACCCCTTTTCTTAATATTTTATAGCTCTTCAAAGCCAGTGGGTTTTCTCTGGCATCCTCGAGCTCTTAATTGTTACCGTCTCCAAAAACTTACCTCCCTAGGTGCAGGACTTTGCATTTTCCATGGCTGAATTTCATGAGGTTACTCGTAGCCCGTTTCTCCAGCCTGTTGAGGTCTCTCTGGGTGGCAGCAGGGTGGCAGCATGTCAACAGCAGTAAGATTGCTCTAGTGTATCAAGCAATCCTTCCAGCTGTGTATCATCTGCAAACTTGCTGTGTCTGCACCCTGTCCAATCACGCAGATCATTCATGAAGATGGTAAGCAGTACTGGCCTCAGATGCAGGTAGCACCATGGCTGACTGGCCTGCAGCTGGACTTCATGCCACTGATCACAATATTGTAAGCTTGGCCATTCAGCCAGTTTGCACTCCACCTCACTGTCCACTGATCTAGCCTGTACTTCATCAGTTCATCAGTGAAGATGTTATGGGAGACAGTGCTGAAACCCTTCCTAAAGGCATGATAAACAATATCCACCTCACTCCCCTCATCCACCAAAGTGGTCACCTCCTTGCAGAAGGCTATCAGCTGCATGAGGCATGATTTCCCCCTTTGTAAATCCATACCGGCTACTCCCTAAATGTAGAGAATATATAACAACTGCCCAAATCAGCTGGCAGCCACCCACAGCATAGGAAGGATTTGGTGTTCATTCATGCTCTGGGGAAAGGTCCATGTCTCATGGGCCCTGATGCATGCAACTGATCCTTCCAGCCTGTGACCCACACCTACCTGCTGGCCCAGCTGGCAATCCACTAGGCTTTGATGACTCACTGATTAACTCTGATCTTCAAAGGCATGAATGAACATTAACCGCGTAGCTCTGACAAATATGCAGAACTTAATGCTTTATGTCTAATGCTGATGACTAAATAAAAGAATCAGTGAAATGAGTCTGATTAAAGCAAAGAGAGATTAACAAAGAGTAATCAAAACATGGCAAGCAGTAGTTTATTGACAAGTGGTGTTAGAGGAAGAAAACATTTTGAGATGGGATACTTAAATTCTGAAATGCAGTTAATAAATTCACACTTCTGGCAAGATAGGAAGTTATTTACTAGCAATTTAATTTAGCATTAAGCACTAGCAGATTACAATTAGTGACTCCCAATTAATTAACATAAAAATAGTCTGATGCTAATGCTACTTACTGAATGGTGACCCTTTACTGGGTCAGTGTGGAAAAGAGAAGGAGGCATATTTTTCATCCTCAGAGTCTGTAGTTTTGCATCTAGTTCTATGTGTTCCCATCAGAAGATGCCAGAATGGATAACAACAGCAGAAACCATGTTCTTTAGACACTGTTTTGCTTTGTCTTTGACTTGACCTCTTAGCACTGCCCCAGATGCAGCCGTAGCACACCGTGGAAGTGCAGATCCACATAGTAAGTGAACTCTTTGGGCATGGTGTGTATCCCACGTTTGGGAAGCACATTGTCATAGTAATGATGGGGCAGGGAATGGCCATCAGGGTGCAAAGAGAAGGGCCAGAAGCCATAGAGTGTAATGTGTTGGCACAACTCCAGAGCAGCATTCACTAGCATAAAACCTGAGGAGAGGCGGCGGGTATGAAAACCATGATCATGCCAGTACTTGCTTAGAGCACTCAGGTACTGAGGGTGGAAGAAGAAGACTTGTGACTGGGAGGCAGAGTCCTGTAAGGCATAGAGTGCTCGGTAAGAAGCCTCACTATTGCCAGGGTAGGAGAAAGCTGGGATGAGGAACCAAGTCTTTCCATAGGAAGCTGCTGCCTTCACAAATGGCAGGCGCTGACCATTCAGACCATGAAACCTGTAAGGCAAGAGATGTGAGACCATCACCCTCTGACAACCTCATCCTCATTCCCTCCTGCCTTTCTCATGCTACTGTACCCCAGAGCAGTGAAATACCAGTCTTATTCTTCATCTCCATGTTCCCCTTCTCTGTACCTTGAGGGTAATCTGAGTTCAAAATTCTCAGGTGCAGCTAGCACAGACCAGAAGAGCTGCTTGACAATATGTAGGAGGTTTGCTAGTGACTAGTTGGTTAAAAGGCTGGGAAGATGTCTTCAAATTTAAAACCTTAGTAGCCCCACAGCTCACAATTCATGGAGAACGATGTCCCATAACAGAGGAGCAGAGGGCTGGGAGAGAATTCATGTAATCTGCCTTTAGAGATCTACTACACAGATAACTACATTTGAGCTAATTGTCCAAACGTCCTTTGTAGTCAGTGGAGGGAAACAAGCACAGCTGGATCACAACTGACCTGTCTTATTTTATACGTCTGCTGTGGGACAAGGACTACCTAATTTCTCCACTGGACATAAAGGTCATTTATGCAGCTAGGATGAGAATGAGGCGGAATAGTTCCCATCAGAGCTCCTCCTGACAGCAGCAGTACAGAACACAGCTGAGCCTCTCTGCCTGTCTTAATATCACCCTTGAGAGGATCAGGTCACTGGAAAGACTGGAAATGCTATTAATCTCTAGTGGTAAGCTAAAACAATGAACAGCAACCAAGTCTTGAACAAATCCCACCCCAAACAACTCCAGAATGTGCATTATTCCCCTGTATACCTCTGCACAGAGGGGAGCATCTCAAGGCAGTAAACGCTAATAGCTTTTCTTGGACAGGCCTTGCGTGGTAGCAAAGGCCTGTCTGTTTTCTGGAGCCCAAAGCAGAGGCAAAAGAGGTTGCCCCTTCAAGAACACAGTATACGGGGGAGAAGCAAATTAGGAGTTTTTTCCTCCATTTTCATTACCACACCTATTACCTTTTCTGGAGGATACTAGGATTCACAGTGACAATGCTTGACTTTCTGCCCACATCCTCAGGGAAGTCCACAGAAGGCAGGTTAAATCTAATTGAGGTGATAAACAAAGGAAGTCTATGAGAAATAATGCTACATGATATCCTGAGAGCTTATCCATCCCTCTGTGACACTGACTTGTTCAGGTATACCCAACAATTTCCCCAGACCCTCACCTTCAACCCCACTGAGAACATTTCCTCTGTCTCCATTTTCTCTACCTCCACCCTATTCCCATGAAAGCCCCCTCCTCCTGCTGGTCTCCTACATGTCTCCTGGGCAGGCTGGCAGCAATTACCTGATTACAAACTGGTGCCCATCAATTTTAGAGCCACAGCTACTGTTCCTGAGGATTCCTCCATTTCCCACTACGGCACAGGTTTTGTAGACAGGGTCCTGAAAGGGGGATTTCTATAAAGAACAACATGTAGAAATTCACTCACCCTTAGAGAATTATAGTAAAGACCTACCACAGATCCTCCAACTGGACACATTCCAGGGTGTACAAGAGAAAAGCATGCAGACTTTGAGTCATATCCCCCATCAAAGAGCACTCTGACCTCTGGCAGGATCTCCAGCAAGCCACTGCTGACTTTCAAGCTCTTTGAGCGATACCCATCATAGACAATCTCAGATCCCAATGGTGTGTTGTCTTGCGTCACAGCCAGCCAGGCTGAGGCATTGCAGCAGAGCCCTAACTCTGCCCTGTAAGAGGAAGAGAGTAGAAGATGGTGAGCAGAGGTCTGGGGATGGGATGAAGGGGGATTGTAACAGCATAACAAAGGAGAGACAGATAAGAATGAGAAGTGAGTCCTAGGCAAGGTGCTGCAGTAGAAGCATAAATAAAGGATTAGGTGACCAAGTATTGCAGTGTAACAGGAAAGCAAGCTTGGGAAAGCACAGGGAACACAAACCAAGCAGTGTCAAGTTAGAACAACTTTTGTCAAGCACTCTGTTCATCCATCTCCACATATTCTTCATTTTCTTCTTCATCATCCACATGGATTTCCAGACATTTTCTCTGTTCTCCACTCTTCAGCCTAGTCATTACTCCAAAGCCCTTCCTGCTTGCTTCAGCCTCAGCTTCACCCCTGGCTCACCTGTGCCTTCAACCATCCCCTCATAAGCTCACCAACATGCGAGATCAAAGGCTAGCACATGGGATGCAGCAGGGCAATGCAAACAGTTGTTACATGAGGATTGTGAGTGTGGGTGTGCCTGCATGTCCCACCCATACAATATGATCTAGAGAACATCTCTTTAGATATGGTTGCGAGTGTAGACAGTGTGTGTGAGGATCAGTGCAATAAGCAAACCCTAGCAGGCATTCACCCAAAACTTAACATGTGAAAGAGGAAAACAATCAAGAATCTTTTGGAATAAAGAAGGAGTCACTTGAAACAAATTATTAAAGGAATGTGAACATTTTTCATGAGGGACAAATGACTATGGAGAAGAAAGAGCAGCAGTCAAAACTATATTTGACCCTGGCAGAAGTTGGACCACCAGCAACACAACCTCTGCCAAGGCCAGGTGGAGCATGCTCCCTGTCAAAAGCTGTGCAGAGTCTGCATCCAGCCAGTGGGCCATCAGTATTGGGTGCAGCAAGCAGGGACCCATGGCATGGGTGGTGTGCATATGTGGATTCATGGGGTACTTCTTCACAGGTTTGCGGCTTTTTCTCTCTGACTTGTGGACATCACCTGTACTGGGCCAAGGCAGTAGCGTTGAACTTCCAGCAGCAGTTCTGCATTAACTTCACATGTCTCAGGCTCCAGACCTCATTCACCCTAGGGCAGAAAGAGCTCTTAAGCAACTTGAATGCTCTCACAAAGACTTACTGAAAACAAATGACTCTCTCTTGCATCCCTTCCTACCCCCTGGACCTTCACTGAGGTTACCAGAAGACCCAGTTTAGCCAGTTGCCTGTCTTCCACTGCCCAGCACACTTGTGGCCATGACTCTCACTTCTGAGGTTGCGTTATGTTGCTCAGCAGTCCTTGACATGCTTTTGCTTCTGGAACTTTGACGTCAAGTCTGTGAAAAAACCCAAAGGATTAAACTGAGCCAGAATACCATGTCCTTACACAGCTTTCCTCCATCACTCCACCCCAGCAATCCCATACCCCAGTGTCTCCCCTTGGCCATCTCATGGCCCAGCCTGCAACCACTCCCATCCAGAGCTATCCACCTGAAGCTAGACTCATTACATCCATTCCCTACACTATCTCCACTACTACCCTATTGATTCCTCCCCTGGAGACGTCCTGGAGCAATCCTCCATGTTCCCACTTCCTTTCCAGGACTGAGGGGACACAGTTCCTCCACCCTGTCCCTCACTCACCTGTCATTCAACACCAGAAAGCACACGGAGACAAATGAGACTGCAGCTACAGTCAGCGACATGACCCATAGCTTGTGCATCTTCAGCAGTCTTGGCTTCACGTACTGCTCCCTGCTGATGCTGTTTGGCATTTTGGAGTATGCCTGAGAGAGCAGAAGAAATGAGGAAATTCCATACCTGAGCTGGTCAGTGTAAACACCCAGCCCAGGGCTTCTCTGGCACTGGCCCTCATTGAAAGTTTGCCTTAAGTCCCTGCAAAACAACATTCAACACAAGACATAATAGGGAACTCATTTCTCTTGGGCTATGCTGAAGCATGCCATGGGGTTATCAGTGGATCCTACTGGACCCTGTTGGAAGGCATCACGGGCCTGCAGTATTCTTTCTCCTGTAAAGCTCTCCTCAGCTATTCCAGGGCAGTGATTCTACTGGTATTCTTCCACAGCCTTGGCTCCGCTCCCTGACACCTTCTCCATCTCATCTCTCCAGCAGTTATCTAGAAACGCCTGCACACAAGTTTCTCATCACCTATGTTGGAAAGAAAAGGGCAGGCAGGTTTTTCTCCTCATTTACTTTACTCCCCTGCACATCAGGGGCCATGACCAGCCTTGGGGATCATAAGCACAGAACTGCAGTGCATCTTGCTCATCTCAGCTATGAGCCTTTGTCCTGGAATGCTGTGGTTTTACCTGTTTGCAGGCAGCCACCCCAATCATGTCAATTCTATATCAAAACAGACATGGCATCAGATCGGCATGTTTCTTCAGAAGCACAACTTTATCTGATGTGGGTAAGAGAAACAGTTTTGCAGAATTTTCCAAAGCACACCACTGTTTTCCCCACATCCATTACCACTTTCCCATCCTTGGTTAAGGAATGATTGTTCTGGCTTTCTCCAAAGAGCAGCATGATTGCAAGGTGCAGCAGAGAAGAAGAGGAGGAAGCAATCTTTGTTGACATTCTTTTTGAAGTTTTGCCTCTGAGTTTGCTATTTTTTATGTCTGTTTACGGAATGCTGAGCTAGCCTAATCCAAATCTTTCCAGTGGAAATTTTGAACCCCCACAACTTTCTGGCCACTAAATCAGAGCAATATGAGTTTGATGGATGGACTGTTTGATGGATAAGGAACTGGCTGGATGGCTGTGGTCCAAAAAGTTACAGTCAATGGCTCAATGTCCAAGTGGAAACCTCTGATGAGTGGTGTCCCTCAAGGGTCCATACTGGGACCAATACTATTTAATACCAATCATTGGCATAGCATGATTGAGCACACTCACAGCAAGTTTGCAGATGACACCAAGCTGAGTGGTATGGTTGACACACCAGAGGGATGGGACGCCATCCAGAGGGACCTTGACAGGCTTGAGAAGTGGGCCCATGTGAACAAGTTCAACAAGATCAAGTGCAAGATCCTGCACCTGGGTCAGGACAATCCCCAGTATTGATACTGACTGGAGGATGAAGGTATTGAGAACAGACCAGTGGAAAAGGACTTGGGGATAGTGGTGGGTGAAAAATTAGGCCTGAGCTGGCAATGTCCACTTGCAACCGAGAAAGCCAATTGTATGCTGGGCTGCATAAAAAGAAGCATGCCCAACAGGTCAAGGGAGTTGATTCTCTCCAGTCTTGTGAGACTCCACCTGGAGTACTGCATCCAGTTCTGGGGTCCCCAGCACAAGAAAGACATGGACCTGATAGGCGGAGGTCCAGAGGAGGGCCACAACAATGGTCAGAGGGTTGGAACACTTGTCCTGTGAAGAAGTGCTGGGACAGTTGGGGTTGTTTAGACTGCAGAAGAGAAGGCTCTGGGGAGACCTTGTTGTGGTATTTTAATACTAAAAGGAGGCTTGTAAGAAAAGTGGAGAAAGATATTTTTACCAGGGCCTGTAGTGACAAGACAAGGGGCAATGGTTTTAAACTGAAAGATGGTTGATTTAGACTGGACATAAGGAAGAAATGATTTAAGATGTGGGTGACGAGACACTGGAAGAGGTTGCCCAGAGAAGTTATGGATGCCCCATCATTGGAAGCATTCCAGGTCAGGTTGGATGGGGCTCTGAGCAGCCTGATCTATGTCCCTGCCTATAGCAAGGGGGTGGAACAAGATGATCTTTGACGGTCCCTTCCAACCCAAACCATTCTGTCATTCTATGAATCTTTGATTGTATGATTCTATGAAGATGAAAACTTTAGATTTATCAGGATTGTGATGTGATCATCAGTGGCCTGTTCACAGGGAAAACAAAAGCTTCTTCTTGCCAGTATTGCTCAACTGGACTTTATCTCTCAAAGCTGGAACCTGACTAATCCAGCCCCAGGCAAAATGAAGGTAATCAGAATGTCGGTTTTACTGCTGTCAATGAACAAGTGCACTTCCTGTTACCTTGTTGGGTTTTTTTTGTTTGTTTTTTTTTTTTCTGGGCTAGTGTTATTCAAGGCTGCGTTTTGGTTGTTGGTTTGTAGTTGGTTTTGGTTTTGGTTTTTTTTTCCGAGTAACAGCTCTTTTCAGAGGAGAGTAATATTCTCTTTAAGTCCCTTGGTCTGGGTAAGCATATTATCAGCTCTCAAAAGTGATAGCTGCTGAAACCCAATACAAGCAGTGAACTAATTATATAACAGTCTAGAAAATTAGAATATATGGTTCAGTTTCCCACTGCAAAACCACAAAGTTAAAACGATTTCAATAAAATAAAGAGGTATGTAATCTAAACCCAAGAAAGCTAAACTCACATACCTTTTACACCAAGAAGGCTGAGGCACATCTGTCTGATCCTGAAGCCGGCTTCAAATGCAGTTATACCTGGGCCGATATGGTTTTGCCGCAGCTCAAACCTTGAAACAATCCGGAACTGCCCTCTCAGGGGGAGGAGATGTGTGGATTTCCTTCTGATGGAGTGACTCATGCATTTCTTCAGAATCACAACTATGAACTGTGAAAAGTCCTCCTGTCACTCAGTGCTCAGTGCATTTATGTCTGGATCAAAAGCCTTTCTTGGCCTTGTTTTCATATGTTGTGTGTCCTGTGGCACATATGAATGTGTCTTTTCCATTTGTCAGAGCATTTTGCAAACAGCTGCTGCACAAGAAGACATGGACATAAGTAGACAAAGGTCTTGACTGTACAGCCAAGACCTCAGAATAATCCTGCAGAACTGGGAGGGGAGCTAGCTGCTAGGCTTAATGCAGAGGCTGACTGCAGCAAACCATGCCTAGACCCACAATTCCCAAAACTGCTCAAGAGACTGCAGACACTGGAATATCCCTACAGAATCAAGCTCCACCAAGTGCGCAAGCCATTTCACTTAACAAAGCCTCCCTCACTGCTCCTTCCTGTGTCTGACACTATGAAACAACAAACCCAGTAAAGTGATGTGATTCACAAAGGCCCATAAACCTGGTGGCCATGAACCCTAGAATTCCATGTAGCTGTCACAAACCCAAGGGACCAATAGCCTTAGTGGGGGCTAACCCTCAGGGGTGCTAAGTCTAATGGCCAATAACTCCAGAGGTCACTAATCCTAGGGGTTGTTAACCCTAGCAGGCCATGACCATAGGGACACATAACCTTTAGAGCTCTATAACCCAGGGGCTGCTAACCAGAGGGAGCCATAACCCTAAGGGCCCATAGTCCTGGGGGATGCTAGCACTAGGGGCACTAAACCTCAGGGCTGAGAACCCTAGGGATACATAACTGCAGAGGGCCATAACTCTAAGGCTTGCTACCCCTTGGGATCAATAACTTTACAGGGACCATAAACCAAGGGGCCCATAACACCAGGGGCACTTACCATAGGGTGGAAACTAACCCAAGGTGACAACAACCATAGTGGCATCTAGCCCTACAGGCCAATAACTCTAGGGGTCGTTAAACCTAGGCCCATAAGCCTAGAAGGTGCTAAGGGGCAAAGGGGCGCTCACCATAGGGATCTAGGGGCCCAAAATCCCGGGGGAGCAATAACTGTAGGGTCCCAACACACTAGGGGTGGCTAAGCCTAGGGGCCCATAATCCTAGGGGCCAATAACCCTTGGGAACCCTAACCCTAGAGGCTTCTCATTTTAACTGTTGCAAACTCTAAGGGCTCCAAACCCTAGGGATTGCTAGACCTAGGAGGTGCTAAACCTAGGTGCCAAAAAACCCAAGGGGTCTATAACCCTAGGGAGTCCATTATCCTAGGGGCCAGTACCTGTAAGTGCCCATACCCCAAGGGGCACTTAGTCTAGGTGCCCATAACCCTGGGGGAGCCAGACTGTGAGCTAGCAGGGATCCCCTGGTCCCCCCAGTAGAAACCCCACTGTGGTCTCAACATTAGAGACACACAGTCACTATCTTATACAAACAGCCAGAGATGGACAGGACACCACTGATCCTGCAGTGTCTTGAAAAAAGCCTGCTCTATTTCTTCTTCCTGATCAAGCAGTCTGTGTTGGCACAGAGCTGCCACAACATCACCAGTAATACAGGAACAACTTTTATCCAAGACAAGAGGTGACTGCTGCCATGTCCCTAACTTCTGGCAGATTTCTCACCTCTGCTGGCAGTCACGTTTCCCACTTTTCCCCAAAGTGTTGCCCTCGCTTCCAGCCACATGATCTATTTATCCACCTCTTTTTGCCCCTGGAGTCTGCCATTTTGTAAAACATCATAACCCCTGTGCTCACAGACTGTTCTGTGATTGTCTGACAGGTCCAGCTGCCCCTTCCAGTTTACAAACTGGAAATGTGTTGCAAACATGAAGCCCTTACCCTGGCAGGGTGGGTTACACCTCTGAGCACTGAAAAATAATTTATTTGTCTTGCACACACTGGTGCTTCTTTGCTTTTCTTTAGTGACACTCCTGCTCCCCAGAGAGTCTTTTCCCAGGTAAAGATGAAGCCATATTCCTGAATCCCCTCTTCTGTGCAGGACCCCAAGTTGGCGATGCTGCTCAGCAGAGTGAATGGGGTTGCAGTCCAATTCTTGCCCCCTGTCCAGGTCCAGAGTTGCAGTTCTCTGGGGCCATGGGGTGACTCCACAGTGGCCATGTTGGTCAGGGAGGGAAGTGGACCTATCCAGATAGAGCCACTGCCTATTATTCCTCATTTTAGGGGTCTGTAGCCATGAAACGTGCTCTGAGGAATCATGAGACATTTCCAGTGGCATGAGATGCACTTGGGTGTGCTGCTAGATCCAACCTCAGGTGTTTAATTGAAGATGGTATGAATCCGTTTCCATGCTCCATTCCCAGGGGGTGCTAGGACTCTATGCTTGTCACCATTGAGCACATGGAGAGCCCAGGGAAAGCAGCACATCTTTTAGGGTGCAATGCTTTGAAACATGTTATTGCCATCAGCGTTATAAGAAAAGCTGAGCCTTCAGGCACCACACTGAAAACCTGTTACAGCAGGGATGCTGCTATAGGGGAGGCCAGAAGAGGCCAGGCTTTGTTTAGCAGAGAAGCACCCATTGCTAGGACATGCTTCTGTTCACAGGATTGCCCACACAGACACTGCAGTGCCAGCACCTGGTTATACAGAATCACAGAATGGCAGGAGTTGGAAAGGAGCTCTGGAGATCATCCAGTCCAACACCCCTGCCAAAGCAGGTTCACCTAGAGCAGGCTGGACAGAATTGCATCCAGGTCGGTTTTGAATTTCTCCAGGAGAAGAGGAGAGGAGGAGACTCCACAACCTCTTGGGCAGCCTGTTCCAGTGCTCCAGCACCCTCAAAGAAAATAAGTTTTTCCTCATGTTGAGATGGAATTTTCTGTTTCAATTTGTGCCCGTTACCCCTTGTCCTGTCACTGGGCACCACTGAAAAGAGTCTGGCCCCATACTCTTGACACCCGCCCTTTAGATATTCGATAAGCACTGATGAGGTCTCCTCTCAGTCTGCTCTTCTCCAGATCCAGGTCTCTCAGCTATTCCTCCTAAGAGAGATGCTTCATTCCCTTGATCATCTTCATAGCCCTCCACTGGATTCTCTCCAGTAGTTCCTTGTCTTTCTTGAACTGAGGAGCCCAGAACTGAACACAGTGCTCCAGATGTGGCCTCACCAGGGCGGAGCAGAGGGGGAGGATGACTTCCCTTGACCTGCTGGCCACACTCTTTTTAATGCACCCCAGGAGACCATTGGCCTTTTTCGCCACAAGGGCACATTGCTGGCTTATGGTCAACTTGTCGTCCACCAGGACTCCCAAGTCCCTCTCTGCAGAGCTGCTTTCCAGCAGGTCAACCCCTAACCTGTACTGGTTATTCCTCCCTAGGTGCAGGACCCTACACTTGCCCTTGTTGAACTTCATCATGTTCCTCTCCTCCCAACTCTCTAGCCTGTCCAGGTCTCTGCAGCACAGCAACCAATTGCAGCCAATAAGGATTCAAACCTGAGGGTCCAGGATGTTGGGGGTGGTTGCTGGGACTGTGCAAACTGAGAAGGGAATGTGCAGGGGCAGGGAACTGAAGAGAAACAAAGGAGGAATTGGCAGAAATGGGTGTAAATGGGCCAGCTGTATGTAGAATGGAAACAACCAGTGCGCTTGTGTGACCAAGCCCTCTGCCTGATCATTGCAGTCTGTCCTATTTTCTTATTAGATCCCTTCTTAACTGTCTGCATAATCTCACCCTCTGTCCTGTGTGTGGGAGTGCTGCAAGGACTGAGTACCAGCTACTGGGGGAACCAGCATGAGTGGACTGGGTGCCAGCTACAGGCATCACACCAGGGGTGTGGGCACCCCTGGCCTGTGGTGTCAGTACTGGTGTGAGTAGGGGTCTCGGCCACCAGCCACTGGGGAGGGAAGAGTGTGTGTCCCAAAAATCAGCTGCTGGGGGTGACTGGGTTGAGGGTGGCAAGCAAGGGACTCCACACTGGTGGCTGGAGCTGGACCATGGGTCACAGCCCGTGTGCCTGGGGCTAACTGCTGGGGGATGAGTGTCTGTATCTTCCCCAAATTGGGTCTGCGTGTGTGTGCATGTGTATTCACCAGCAAACTTCAAGCTGGAGCAGCCAGCTCGTAGAAGGATCTGTGTCTTGGCAGGGGTATCAGGTGGACAGAGGGTCCGTGCTGGTCCCCAGGAGGACCTGTGAGCATGGAGTGCCTCTGGGATCCGTGTGTGTGTTGCATGTTTGCAGCAAGCATCAAGCCCTACCAGTCAGCAAGTAGGGGACCTGTGGGGCAGGCAAGAAGGCTAGGCCAGGGGTGCTGGGTGGCAGACAGGCTGTGCTGCTGCTCAGAGGACCTGCGAATGTGCCTATGTGTGTGTGAGAGAGCCTGCACTAGTCTCTGCCAGCCCCAGAGGAGGAGGGGAACGTGTGTTTGTGTGTTATGTGGGTCCAGTATGCAGGTGCTGCTGAAGGCAGCACGGTGTCTGTGGCATTCTATGTGACTGGCCATGTTAGTGTCCTTTGGGACACATGCTCAGATTCGCTGCTAGTTGAACCTGCAGATGGGAAAGCGGCAGCTATAACCCTCAGCCTGGGCAGAGACCCCAGGTCCCCAGGGCACCAGACTGGACTCCAGCAGCCAGACAGGAGGGAGTCTTGGGTCCAAAGCTGTGGCAGGTGACAGCCATTCTTAACATATAGGACAGGTTGCTTTTTTACAGCTCTGTATTTTAAATTTGCATTTATTCGAAAAGTACAGCTTAGAGGTAGTTACACTGATTGCGAAACTTGAATTTTCCCTAACATTCTGCCCAAAGCAGTTTTCACATCATTATTTTTCAGGCTGTAGATGATGGGATTTAGCATGGGGGTTAAAATGCTGTATTGGATGGAAGACAGTTGATCTAGAATGAATGATGAGACTGAACTAGGTTTTGTGTACTGGAAGAGAGCAGTTGTGTATAGCAAAACCACTACAATGAGGTGGGAGCTGCAAGTGGAGAAAGCTTTGTGCCTCCCCTTTGCAGACTGTATCTTCATGACAGTGGAAATGATATAGATATAGGAGATGAGAGTGAGCAGAAAGGAGCTTGAACCAAAGATCACAGCAGAAGACAGAAGAACAAGTTTATTGAGGAAGGTCCTACCGCAAGCTGCAGTTAAGAGAGGGGGCAACTCACAGCTGAAATGCTTGATTTCTGTGTACTCGCAGAACTGCACATTTAGCATTGGCAGTGTGTTTACAATGGAGTGTAAGACCCCCATGGCCCATGCACCCCCCACCAGCTGGCTACAGACAAGTTTGTTCATAACCTCTTGGTAGTGCAGTGGTTTACAGATGGCAACGTATCGGTCATATGCCATTGCTGAGAGCATGAAAATTTCACTACCAGCTGAGAGAAGTATTAGGGACATCTGGATAATACAGGCACTGAATTCAATGGTTTTCTGCTTCAATAGGAAATTCACCAGCATATAAGGAACAACAGTGGTGGCATAACAGATGTCTGCGAGGGCTAAGTGAAAAAGGAAGAAGTACATAGGAGAGTGAAGGTGGGCATCAGTACGTATCACAATCATGATCACCATATTTCCAAACAAAGTGATGAAATAAATAACAGAAAACACAAAGCAGAGGAAGCTTTGAAGGTGTGGGTCACTTGTAAGTCCCAAGAGAACAAACTCTCTTGCACTTGTTTTGTTTTCCATTCACAGCATGTTACCTGGAAGAGGAGGAAAAAACCATTGTGTCAGCAAGTGGAATCAGGGCATACTAGAGTTGCACTAGCTGACTCCCAGGTAACAGAGACAGGCAAACAACCAACCTTGTGCAGTATTCAATGTCAGGAGCAGGAGCTGGAGTGCAGGCAATTTCAGTCCCAGCTGAGAAGCAGGTTTTCCAACACAGGTGCAGAGACAGCGTTAGATGTGAGCTGTCGTCCCCACTGAGCCCTACGGGCACTTCCTCCTCCTCCTTCATGTCCTCTTACAAATGCCTTTCAAACTCCACGCAAGGGGGAGGCCTGGGAAAGAAGTCCTTAAATCCTCTGACTTGTCTAAGATACATTTTCTTCCTGACAAACAGGCTTTAATCCCAGAAGCGCCCATCACCAAACATGGGAGGATGACAGCAATTCCAGCTCGACCGATCTGTTCCTCTGCACTCATGATGTTAACCTTGAACTAGACTCCCAGTGTAAGGTTGCTTCAGTTCTTAGGAAGTCTATTCTATGTGTTTCTGGTTTAACTCAGGACCAAAATGTGATATATCCAAAGGCTGTGCCTGCAGAATACCTCCCCAGGCCCAATATTCTGGACATACAGACACAATGGTGTTTAAGGTCCCCACTCTAAACCAGGGATAAGTGGAATTTTGGAGAATTACATATTTGGGTGTTTACTGCCAGGAGGCTGACCACATAACAGATAATTGCATTTGAAAACAGAGAACTTTCAAGGAATATTTCCTATACACATACATTTTGCTAAACAAAGTTTCCTGTTACATTCCAGAAATACTCACCAATACGTGAGTGGGGATTAATCAGGAAAAACAGTAGTCCAAAATATAATTATATTATATGTTTTTAGCCACATAACTGAGGAGAGATGTCACAAGATGCACAAACATACAAAGCATCTCAGCTATGGACCTGCTGGAGCATGTCCAGAGGAGAGCCACGAGGATGATCCGAGGGCTGGAGCACCTCTCCTGTGAGGAGAGGCTGAGAGAGTTGGGGTTGTTCAGCCTGGAGAAGAGAAGGCTCCGGGGAGAACTTATTGCGGCCTTCCAGTACATAAAGGGGGCCTACAGGAGAGCTGGGGAAGGACTTTTTACTAGGGCATGTAGTGACAGGACGAGGGGGAATGGCTATAAACTGGAAGAAGGCAGGGTTAGATTAAACATTAGGAAGAAGTTTTTTACTTTGAGGGTTGTAAGGCATTGGAACAGGTTGCCCAGAGAGGTTGTTGAGGCCCCATCCCTGGAGGTGTTCAAGGCCAGGCCGGATGTGGCCCTGGGCAACCTGGTCTAGTGGGAGGCGTCCCTGCCCATGGCAGGGGGGTTGGAACTCAAGGATCTTTGAGGTCCTTTCCAACCTGAAACCATTCTATGATTCTATATCACTGTTTCCAACTAAAAGGCAATGTAGACAGCTTTCTTGGCCAAGGCTTGAGATAGACCGTATTCACCTTCCCTTTGGTAGTTTGTAGAGTTCAGACTCAAGTTCTCAGAAGCAAGTATCACCATCCAGTTTGCACCTTTGGCATCTCAAAAAGCACTATGAGCAGTTCCCACATCTTCCACCCCCATCTTTTGCTTTGGTTTGCCTCTCTAAAGACCCAGTTCGTTTACTCCTGAGTTGAGGCAGAATCAAGCCATCATTTTAGCACTCAGGGAGATTAGATGTGTGTGAGTTTGATCCCAGAGCTATCATGACAGCATGAGAAGCTCAAAGGCCTTCACAGTGTGTCACATGATGCCCTACAACACAGAAATGACTTTTTTTAGTTTAAATCATTACCAACATCTTGGTTTCTTTCATTTAGGCACTTGAGTTTGGAAATTGGAAACTCATTACTTCTCAGAAAATTTTTTGTTATCAACAAGTTCTTAGATAACAACTGGTGGGATACTGTCTCCCGGCTAGATTTATCTAAAAGCTATTCACAAAAATCAAAGCTAGTTGTTTCGATCCTCACATTATTTCATCAAAAAAAAAAAAAAAAAAGAAACTCTAGAAGATGATACTTGAGATATGAGAAATAAGTACACTTTTTATAACTTTTTTCCCTTCTCCATTTACAGAAGAGAGACTCCCTGATGTTTAAAAGAAAGTGACAAAAAAAAAATCCTCAATGGAAGAGATTTTATGATCACTTCTAGAAACTGTACTATTCATTTAAATGAATACAAACTAGTTTTATGGAGCGAAAAAAATTCAAGAAATGAATTTATTTTTTGCAAATGTCAAATTAAAACAATATTTTGATCAAGCATTCTAGTTTTGAAAGATAAAATGAAAACATAGATAAGAAGACAGGCTGAGAGAGAGACTTGAGTCATTACAGTGCAATCAACCGTGCAATTTGATATTAAAGGTGGAATATCTTTTACCTATTTAGTCTTCTACAACATTGATGCCACTAGTCATTGCAGACTGCCATTTTAAACCCTTTGGGAGAATATTTTAGTGTTGTTCACTAGTCTTACAGTGAATTTAATAATGTTATTCTTACATTTATATTATACTCACATTTATATAGGAATTTAACAAAAATCATAGTACAATGGAAGTTTCTATTTTTTTCCTATGAATTTTAAAATGAGCCCAGAGCTTCTTTGTAGCAGACAGGAGATTAGTGGAGACTAGCACCTTTATTTGCAAATTTATTCTGCCTTTCAGACACATGTCACTCCTGGCATAGCCAAGTTGTTTCCTTTAGCTATACAAAGAGCCTAGACCATGAACATGAACATGAACACTAACTTATGGTACTTCAAAAAACTCCATACATTCACTAAATTATTTGGTTTGGGATTTGTGTACTCACCAAAAAAATTTGCTTCTTTTCTTAAGATGTCATTTTCCTGTTTGCAATTCTTTTATTCTTTTCCTGGAAAAAGGTATTAAATGTGTTTGTTAGAAGAAAGTACTGTAATGAAATAATAATAAACTAATGTTCATGCATGTATACTCTTAAATCCCTAGAAAAGAGCGAAATAACAGCGAACTGGCCTCTGTCTAACATGAACTTGAGGAACAAGTTAAAACTGAGTAGGTAGATAGACAGATACATTGACAGATATGCAGATAACTAGGGGGAAGGATTCATGGTATACAAGCAAAAACGATACAGTTCCTTCCTCTCAGCTATCACTTGTATAAATAGAACTGTTAGAAAATATAAGTCAATGTTTCCAAAAATGCAACATAAATCTTTCTTGAAGTTCTCTCTCATCTCTGATCTACATCTCTTGTCTTTTTTCATCCTCCCTCTTAATCTCTGCATCTTTAAGTCAAACACTGTATGTAAAAACATTCAATAAAGTTTACTCCTGGAAAAGAGATGCTCCTCTTTTGTCCTGGTGATGTACTGGGGAAAAGTCTATTATACACCTCTTCCTTTGCAGCTCATCTCTTTTCATATTCCTAACTCTAAATTCTTAGCCTTACTTTTGAAGCCTAAATATTTCCTGGCAGCCTCTGGGACAATTATCTCCTGTGTATGAAACTCTGAATATTTTAAGCCAAGAGCTAATAAGCTTATTCCAAGAAAAAAAAAAAAAAAGGCTATTAGCTAGTTTCTTATATTCCCAGTGTTGCACATTATAATTCCTTTCATTAGCCATTCTGTTTTGAAGACTTTTGTGTATTTCTGGCCTCTGTGATACTGGAAACACAAACTCTCTCCTAACTAATGCTAAGACCAGGTCAAATAAATCATCGCATCTTGGGTATTTTAGTTGAAATGAAGAGATCAGTTAAAAGCAGTGATCATTAATATTACAAGCATCCCTCCTTCCCAAAATCATCTGAGATAAGCTTCACATTTTGGATTCTTTTATTGCTTATCTCTTGTCTAAATTATGGACTTTTTCTACTAATCTTTGGTGCCTACAATGCAAATAACAACTGAGATAGATAGCCACTTCATGTATCTGTATCTTAATGTCCCTATATAGTTCATATAGAAGTATGATGTCCATAGTTCGGATGTCTAAATAGAAACATATGAATCCCATCTGAAAGAACTACCATACATACCCTGGCAGTACAAAGAGGTGACATAGCTTCCCTTATTTTTTTATGCATCCTTTTTTTTGCTTTTTATCAAAAGACCTTTTGCCTGAGCTTGATTTTCTGTAACTGTGCATATTTTGCCTAGTGTGCCAAAGAAAGAAGCTATTGATGATTTATCCCCCTGCAACTGTGGTGTGGCAGTCATCCATAGGTTTACCACAGTTTTACAAAAATATAACTGAAATGACATGTTTGTGGTGGATATTCAGGACAAGTAAGTATGTTGCAAGATGGATATCCAGCGTATCAGAAAAAAAAGTTTGCATCACGGGAATCCTAGCTAGAAGAAGAAACTTGGTGCACAAGCACCCATTCAACCATGGTTTTCTCTGAAATTTTCCATTTCCATGTAGATCCTGTGATACTACTACTATGCAACCAAAAAAATCAGCAAGATTCTCTATCATCCTGTATTTATCTTTTATCGTTATTGTCAACTATAACCTGATTCAAAAAGCTTTTCTTTATCTAGTTAAAATTTCAGTGAACAGGAAAAAAAAATCTTAATTCCTAAATTAGAAGAAATCTTAAATATTACTTCATTGGATTTTGAATAAACTTTAGGTAGAAAAATATTCAAATATGAAGATTGATAGACAGAGGAGGGAAATGGGAAATGCTTTTTTTTCCTTTAGTGTGTTTAAAGTCTCTCTTATCCAACACTTCCTCCCCCGCCATCTCCCTAAGACCTGTTCTCTTACACAGTTGCACACACACACACAAGTCCACCCCTGGAGACCCCAGACCCTACAGACCCTGTCCCCTCTGATAAGCAGGTCTTTAACTGAGATGGAGTTCATTTTTTTATATGTGAGATAACTTTCTATGCTCCCGTTACTGCAAGGGGAAAAAAGAGGCACATCTGAGGTGCAGCTCAGTTCATCTGTCTCAGGTATCTATTTTAGG